CAATCATACCATCATCTTTCAGAGATTGGGCAACTGCATTACTTTTCGGATAAATTTATTGTATAGCCTCCCATAAGCCTCTTGTTGGACATCCTAAACCGACGGTCGACATACCGTCTGGCCTAAACGTGTATTAATCATTTCTAAATTATGCGGTTGCTGGCTGATAGATCATACAATGTTGAAGAGATAACTTCTAACGAATGATGTGCTCATTTCCATTTTGAGGTAAGGTGTGTGATGAAGAGATTTGAGGATGGATCCCACCAAAAGACGACAGCCCTCGGTTGGCTTCGATAGAACTCTTGGTTGACGGTGTCCTCGATCCGGCTGTCGACGTGCTCAGCTTCCGTCGGAGACATCATCAAAATCAGGGCATCATGCCTACAACTAGCTGATGCTAACGGGTCAAGAAATAATATGGACCTTGAGCTTTTTATATAAAAGTGTATGCAAACTGGTAAGTAAGTGGGAAAACTATGTCACTTTCTGCGGGAGTACCCGCTTTTAGAGAGAAAGCGGACCCATTGTCTAAATCGAGCCGCTTAAAAATGTGCTCAGGCTGTCGTTGTAATGATGGAAAGCTGTGTCATCCCATTCCACGAGGCACGCTGTTGGATTCAACGATCCGCGGTAGCTGAGCACACGACAGAAACTGGACACGAGGTCGTTTTGCTGATTATGCTTTGTCTGTGTTTGAAATCAAAATTAGGCAAACAATCGAAATCAACAGATTAGCAAATACAATTAATGTCGGGAATAGATACAAAAACTGGGTGCATTCAGATTTTGGCAGGTTTCGGAACCGAATGGTATGGAAGCTTTGTATTGGCCATGGTTATAATTAAGCTTATTAACACAATATATATACATTTATTTATTTATTTTTCCATTTTCTCTCTTCCATCTTCAGAGTTGTAGAGGGCAAGCATTTTAAATTTTACTGACAGCCCACGTCCCTCTTAGGAAGACAGCACAAGTAATGCCGTCGAATGAATAGCGAATAGGTTCGTCAAATCGCCAATCCCACTGTAAAAGTGTGATTTGAATGGGGTCTGGCTTGCCTCGAATGTAACATCTGTCTTGTAGGCCAATGACACACGTGGCTGTGCAGAGGAGTGGCAACCTGTGTCACCGCGATGTTCACGATCCAGTAATGAATCCAGTTGGTGCAGACGAGCTGCAATCTGGCCTAGGTAGGATACCTTTTTGGGGGGCCAGACTAAGTGGAAATAAATGGCATACTGAGGCCTATTTATAATGATTGTAGCAAAATTTACGCGAAATAAAGTGACGTAGGTTCTGATCAAAGATCTATTGATAGTCTTGAAGTCCTTAAAGGGTACCGACTGACACCCGCGGCTGCGTGACAGAAATGAAATGTATTGCCAATTGACACGAACGGCGACGAAATATGACAAGTCAAAGTCGAAGCTGGCCTCCAGGTTACAGAAAGCCAGGCCTCTGTCATATGAAATTTTTATTTAGTGCAAGTGTCAATAAGGCAAACTTGCATTTTTACATTACAATCGACAACACTACTTACATTCATAGTGAGTAGTTTTCGAGACTACCAGAATAATAATTGATCACCTTATACGAGTGGCATTTTTATGCAAGACATGCTAAAAGTCTGGAAACCTATCTTCATTTAACATAATTAAGAGACTCACCTAGACACATTGGCCACGCAACCACCACTAGTGAACGGCCTTTTTACCTCCTCTCCGTCGGAGTTCATCACCTCTTGTGCCTCACTGTTCGGCTCAATGAAGTCCGGAGACTCGACAGCCCTGGCTGTATGCCTGTTTGAGTCATCCAAATGGAAAGAGCGTCTCACTTCGTCGACCAGAGAGGTCAACTCGGCACACCCATTTGGCCCGACAGACGCGCAAAAGGTGGGCACAGCCTCCATACGAATCACACGAAGGCCGTCGAATTGCGCCGCCAGTCCCTTCTCGACGCCACTCTCTGCAGCCCACTCGCCGGTCGCACCCACCGATTGCCCATTCTCGAAGCTGAACGAGTCTTCGTGAGAGCGGTCTTTGCTAGCTTCATATTCATCCCCCACCGTGGCTGCGCCCCGATTCACACAAGCCTCCATCGGCTTTTGCACCCCCTTTCTTGTGGCACCTGACAACCCTACGTCTTTCGCCTCCGTATCCTCTCCGTCAAGATCACTTTCCATCTCGATGTCGTCGTCCGGAGGAGAGTTGTGCTCATGCACAGCCTGCAGGCGAGAACAGATTCGCGGTAGTACGCCCGGATCGAGGTGTTGGCCACGAATGCCAGCCTCCAGCAGATCGAGCAGATCGGTGGTCACGCTGATGAGGGCTTTGTAGTTGGTTTTGAGTTGGGCAAATCGACGCCGATCGTAGGCCCAGCATCGGTCAGAGGCGCCAGTTGTCGTCTGAATGGCGAAGTCTCTGACATTCTTGTCGAGTAAAAAGTGTGGATGTGCAGCATTAAATAGAAAAAGTTGACACATTCATTTTGCATTAAAAGCATTGCATCAATCCTCTGGCCAGAGTAAATAATTGGCCACTTATCACGAGCCAATCAGAGGCAGTGGGCATGAAGGATGGTCTGGTACTAGAGTTCTCATTCAAAAATTATGGATAAATTCGAAACCTACTGTACACTAATATAAGTAGTGTACTCGATCGCAGTGAAAAAACACAAATTTATTAGATCTATTCATCATAGTTCTTTCACGGTAATGCAGGACTGCCTGTTGAATTTTCCCACAATCACATGAGTAGGCCTTAAGTATCCATTGAATTTCACATCGCCTCGTCGCCCTAAAGGTATTCTCGTCCAGAATGGAGTAGATTGCCGTTTTGACCCTGCTCAGGACTCACCAGTACCCCCAGTGGGACTCAAACCCAGGCAGTTAACCACGATGCAACTACAAAAATGTGATATGGCAAAGGCTCTTGGGTTTCATGACCCTTTGGTGAGGTAGTGACATATTGACATTGCACGGTACACTACCACGACCTGCATTCGAGTCCCGCTGGGGCTGCTAGTCCTGAAGCATATATATAAAAGAAAAAATAAATCCCTACCTTACCATAATAGAGTAGGCTCGTCACCTTGATGTATGTGCCGATAGAAGAGTTTTTTTCCACAATTACGACGCCATTAAATTTCACTTAGTCTTGCCTCTCAAAGGACTGAGTGAAATGGAATAGGATCGTGAGGCCTAGTCATCTCGTTGTGGTAAGAGCTCCACTGTCCTTCCGTAAATCGCATTAAGCGACACGAACTGGCGAAGTTGTGATAATGGCAAACCGTTAATTTCGTTTAAAAATGCTAATCGCACCAGATACCGCGCCAGTCTTGGAGTTGTCACTGTTGGATTGTGCTCGCCGTCCTGTGACCCCGATCCGTCTGTGTTCAGCTGTAGTCCGTCATGTGAGCATTGCATACACACAATGCATACGCACACGCGAAGGTAAAACAAGACTAATGATTATAGGATCATCCGCTAGTTTATTTATGCATCAACACCTCTTTCTACACGAACTTCACTCGTCTGTATGCATGTAGGACAAGCATAAATAAGATACATTATTTGTGTTGTTGGTAGTTGATTTTTCCCACAAGCATAAGAATAGAGCTGACGTTCCCAGCGAATTCCATATAGTCTTGTTTTTCCCAAAATGTGTTCTCATCTAAACTGAAGTGGACTGCCGTTTCGACCTCGCGTAGGTCTTATCAATAGCCCCAGGGGGACTCGAACTATGAAAGGACTGTGCATGATCTCGACGCGATAACTACTAAGTCACAGGTCAGATGTCACTTTCAAGGAAGGCCTGGCATTTTCCATGTCATATTTTGTGTTAGGATTGTCGAGGAAACTAACTTAGATTTGTTATAGCGATTGATGACATTGCTTTTTTCGTAAATAAGTAGGTTTTCGAGACTATCAGTAAATCAGACATATGAGTCGAAAACCAACACATTTATGAAAACCGTAATGTCGTCGAGTGCTATAGCAGATATAAGTTTGCTTCGCCGACAATCCCAACACAGAATGTGATATGGAAAATGCCTGAAATTCCTTGAAATTCGCATCTGCTCTGTGACCCAATGGCACTCGTGGCAATGTGGTGGAGTGGTTAACGTGTCGAAATTATACTCTGCCTTCTCATGATTCGAGTCCCGCTTGGAGTGTTGATACGACATATGCGAGGTGGAAACTGCATTCTACTTCTGCCGGGAGGAGAACACCTTTTGGTGAAGCAAAGCTATATGAAATTCAATGAAAACGTCAGCTCTATCCATACAATTGTGGGAAAACTCAACTAACTGTCATATATATGAAGAAAAGTTGGGTTTCGAGGAATCTCTTGTTTCATAATTGTTGGGATTACTTCCATTTCG